TCTTTCCTACCAGTCAGGCCATCTTTAACAAGGACAACAGTAAACAACTCTTGACTTCCTTGGGAATGGGGATGGCTTAATTGCACTGACAGTGTCTTGAAATTCTCTGGTGGGCAAAATGTTTATTCCACCCTGAGCTGCATCACTGCATGGTATTAACATGCATGGCCTCTTATCTATTTCTCGCTCACCTCTCTGCCGTTCCCTCAAGACATCAAGTGGCAACAAATAGAAGGAAAATCCTTTTCCTCCCTGGAACTCCTTTTTATTCCACAATTTATTTTCATGAGATGCCTCAGCCTCAGAAAGGCAATCCTGCCTGTGGTGCTGAGCAACTGTGACTCCCACTGAAATCAAAGGGAGTGGAGAGTAGGCATCTTGTGGCAGAGACCAGGCTTTAACCTTGTGTTTACTATTTCAAAATTTCACAGACTTGTCTTGAAATAAAAGAAGTGCATCATTTACTGAACAACTTTAACACATTTCAGCAAATTATTCCAGGAACAGCATGTCTATACAAGGGAATTCTACCTTAAAAAAGCAATTTTAAAGGAAGACCAGCTGTAAACAAAAACTCAAACCTGTATTAACTTCAAAGCACCTGGCAAGACAAGGAGAGATCCTAATCTCCCCTCTCAGGACAATTCCCCTATCTCAAGCTTTTGGTTCTTTGCATATAGAATGATTTGTACCCAATTAAATGTCTTTTTACCCAGGGCAATGCAGACAGCAATTCTAAGGTGGCTATATCCAGTGAATCCAAGTATCCTCTGACAACTTGGAAAGGAAGATCAAAGCCAAACATGACAAAGAGGCGGGTAAATTAAGATGGCAGGTCTCAGACCTGCTTGATTTAAACCAGCCTGGTGACTGTGTGTATTCATGCAGGTGTGGTGCATCATAATGATTTCCCAGCACCGGTTTGGGGTGACCTGTGTAACTCCCACGTGCTGAATTATGCAGGTCACTGAGAACAAAGGTCAGCTAAACCTTTGTGCTACCCCATGATGTATTTTAGCTATGCCAGATGTTTTGCAGAACTGTGTGGCAATTTAGGTCACTTAAATCATACAACCTTTTTCTGTACCGACACATGAACGCACAAATTACTTTCTTTGCCATACAGCATAACACATGTTGTTTTCTTCTGAACTAACTGGATGGGCACAATTTTTGATAGTTGGACTAACCGCTTAATCTGCATAAGCAAAACTTCTGTTCCCAGGTGGAACTACCGATGCTTCTGCCAGGAGAGACAAACTGAAGGGAACAGTTAAGCTGAGGAAGCCCAAGAAGTGTACTTGCTGACATAAAAATCAGATCATTATTTTATTCTATGCATTGCAAACTCAGAAAATTTTTCTTTTTAAGATAGGGATTCTAATTTCCAAAGATGCTTGCATCCTTAGTTGCCATTGTGCAGTATCGTTATTCACATGCCACTTAATTAAGGCTTGTGTCAGCACTTCCATTACAAACTTCTGCCTTTTAGGAGTTTATAACTCAGCCATAAAGCTCTGCTCTAGGCTGAAACTTATCATGAAAGGGTCTGCCTGGAAGGAATCCATTCTTTTGTATTTTAGAGTCCCAAAAACTTATAGCAACAAACCAGTGATTTTATTCTAAAGGCTGCCATACAAAAAACTTCAGCTGTTTTTTATAGAAGTGCTGGGTGAGATGTGCCTTCTAGACTGGCTTCTAGATGCTCACTGAGCAGAGTCAGGTTTTGTATTCTTAACACTGTAAATTTTAGGAGTTATGGGGTTTTATGCTTGAGGGCCAAAGTCTGTGCTTACTTAAATACCAGTGAACCCCTCTGCCCTCACTCGTTCCCTAATGGAGCAGGAGTGTCCTGGGTTGAGTGAGTGGTGGAGTTTTTTGGTGGCAGGGGAGGGGGCTATCGGGGCGGCCCCCTGTGAGAAGCTTCTCAAAGCTCCCCCAGCTCCACGTCAGCTCCACTTCTGTTTGGGAAATTGAGCCCATCAGCTGCGCCTCTGCGATAACGTATTTAAGAAGGGACGTGGTGACGGGCAGTGGGACTGGTGAGGAGGAGTTGCTGCAGCTGCGTGAACACCAAGGTCAGTGGAGGAACAGAGGAAGAAAGGAGGGGGGAGGTGTGCCGGAGCAGAGACCCCCCTGTATCCTGTGGGGAGACGGCAGGGCATCCCCCCCTGCCACCCATGGAGATCTACGGTGGAGCAGACATTGATTTATGGGCTGTGGCTCCTGCTCTGATGATCAAGGTTCTGTGCCCGAAGAAGGCCGGGGTCTCATGGGAAAAGGCAGCCCCGCTGCTGTAATTCAGCGCTGGGAGGATTGCAGCATGCGGGGGAGTCCCACGCCGAGCAGCTCGGGAAGGGCTGCAGCCGTGGGAGGGAATCCAGTCGGAGGAAGTTAGTGACCCATGACGGAGCAGTGTGGGGAACGCTGCGGCCCGTGGGAGGAATTCAATGTCGGAGAAAGTTTGTGGAGGACTGTCTCCTGTGAGAGGGGGACCATGCTGGAGCAGGGGGAAGAAGTTCCAGAAGCTCCCCCCACTGAAGATGCAGAAAGTGGCAGCGCTGACTGCACCCCCCATTCCCTGCCCCTGCGCCACTGGGGGAGGAGGTAGAGATATCGGGAGCAGAGCTGAGCCCAGGAAGAAGGGAGGGGTGGGGGGAAGGTGTTCTCAAGATGTGGCAATGCTTCTCACTGTCCTGCTCTGTTATGTGTTGTTAGTGTCTGTAATAAATGTATGTTCTTTTTTTTCTTCCCCTAATGAGTCTACCTTTTGCTCATGACCATAAAGGGGAATTTTCTCCCCATCCCAGTCCTATCTCAGACCCCAAGCCTGGCTCTCTGTCCCTTCTCATTGCCAGAGGGGAAGGGAGAGAGAGCTGCTGCATTGTGGTTGGCTGCCAATCAGGCCCAAACCTCGACAAGGAGTCAGTACAGATTCCCCACCCTTCACTCCCCGCTGCCTCCAAAGAGCCTCATGGGGATGCCAAGACTTAATTCATACCCCAGTACTCAATGAAATGTTGATGGACGTGGCTCTCCAGGTGCAGTTTAGGCTATAACCTTCACACACCATGTTGCCAACAGAACTGTCCAAGTTGTCCTCAGGCTGGGGGAAGGGGGGAGTGGGTATGTGTGAATGGGTTAAAATGAGAGAGACTGACTGTCCTGCACTTCTCTGGCGCCCACTTTCATCCTTGTTCGATGGGGTTTTTTTGGGAGCACACAGAACAGGCAGAACTTGTTAGCACTGCATTTGAAGGGCATGTGATGGAGATGCAAGTAATTTCTAATACTCTCTGCTCCTGTCACTGATGCTTACGTTTGCAAAACATCCTGAGGCTTGCAGATATAACAGAACTGCCCACATCAGCCACAAGACTGATAGGTACGTCTCCCTGAAGCTCTTAAACACTGTTCTCTTAGGAAAACATTACATTTGCTGCATCGAGTCTTATACACGTTAAGTCTTGTCACAAAAGTCATCAGATAAAATTATTTGCACTCCCTTTTCCAGACAATCTGATCTCTACAGAGTATGAATCGTTTCTTAAATGTTTGCGAAGTGTCCAGCATGCAGTGGGCACTTCCACTAGTAGCAGTAATAATATTTTCCTACTGTTTTTAAATCTCTGACTGAACAGGAAATTTACACAAAGCATCAGAAACTACTTTTAGAAAGGCAAAAAAAGTTATTAGTGGGCTGCTATTTGCAAGCAGATCCAATGGACCAGATCTTGATTTCTACAGTACCCACATATGTATGAAGCACACACAGAACCAGATTCTGGGCTGTTCTGCACCCTATCTACCTCCTTCTCTTCTCTGTTCTCCAAGACATTTCACAGCTGCACAGATTAATTTTCCTTGTTCTAGAAAACAAGCAGTACCTGCCAGGCTCAACTATTCCACTCGTGTGGCAATTCAATATAAGAGAGAAATTTCAAAATTCCAGTTTTCTTTTTCTAAAGCAGATGTAAATTTCTGCAGCTATATTCTTAAAGGATTAGAAAAGTTTATTTATACTAGCAACATATAAAGAAAATGCACTATGCTCAGGGTATCAACTGACCCACAAGTCACAAAGAAATATTCATGTTTGTAACTGGATATCTTCAATTTATGAATTCCCACCTTCTTAGGGCATCTGATACTGCAGGAAACCAGACTTTAAAACCAATATACCAGACTGGTTTGCCAATCCATCTCCTCCAGTAATTCAGATTTCTATGTCATTTCTTTTATTTATGCTTTTTAAAACACTTGTCATATTTTGAATGTCAACTTTTTTCTGAGCTGACTTGTAAATATTCTTGCACTGCACTTCTGCAGCTGTAGTTCAACCCAATCATGCTTCACGTTGCAAAATGCAGAGTCTATTGGCTGCATCACTTCATACTTTCAACACTGCAGTTGGATGCCTGCATGCCTAAGTTTTTGCAAGATCAGGGTGCCTCAGTGGTATCCTATTATCTAAAGCATCTGTCATCCAGTGATTTTTGTCATATGCAGTCACAGGCCCACCTTTTAAGGTAGGGCTGTTTTAAGTTGGCTAAGCACAACACTGCAAGTCCTGAGCAATTCAGAGCATCAGTCAGTTTGGCCTTCAATAAGCCTTTTGTGCAAAGAATTACTTTTGCAAATGAGATGCAGACTCCCATGTCTCTCATGTCAGGAAACAGATCTGGGCCACCCCAACCTTGCGTTCTTCCAAAAAGGGACCAGAATAAACACATCAAAACCAATAATGGGCTTTCTTTACAAGTCTAATCAATTCTCTCTTCTAACATAAAAGAGACTGTTTCCCCCATAGACAACTTTCCCAAAAATAAAAACAAAAGAAAGAATATGTGGTAAGGGGGGAAAGAGGAACAAAGGAGGAAGAAAAAAAGCCACAACACTGACAGTTAGAAATATTCATTTACATCTAACAGCATCCATATGCCAGTAACATATCATAAACTCTTAGCCTACCATACAAAGAGGGTGCCCCAAAATGGTACCTGCAAGAGGTCTCTCGGAAGGAGATGTTTAAATCCCAGTGGGTGTGTATCCTGTTAACAAACAAACAGAGAGGTCAATGGCACATGCTGAACACGGCATCTCTTGCCACTTAAAAGATCTGCTCCATCATGACAACCCACCCATGGTCCTCTCAGACTCCCTCTCCCCGGCTCTCAGCCACAACCACTGCCTCCGTCTGAGCTGTGGGGTGCTGTGATGAGCCCCCCTGCCCGCACACGGCAGTGCTGAGTGTCCACAGCAGGACTCACTGCTGTAAATGGGACATGCAGGTGATCTATGCAGCGGTGAGAGAACTTCTCCTTGCTGCATGCAGTCTCCCTAATAGGTGCAGGGACTGCTGGATGTTGTTGCAACTAATAGGACACGTTCAGAGGAAGCAGAAAGAGCTAAGCATTGACATTTTATGAAGAAAACCCAAATATGTCTGTACTGTATTCCCTCCTCCACACCCGCCCCAGCTGTAAATAAATGATTAGCAATTTCCCACCTCGGAAATTAATTTCACATATTCTGTCACTCTGCCTGCTGACAAGCAGGAATAGCAGATTCTAGATGAACAATATCCTAAATTAAAACAGAACAGCCAAGGGGGTTGGGTTTCTGTTGGTTTTGTTTAGTTTTTTTTTTTTCCCCATTGCTACTAGACAGCCTCTACACCAACCCAGAGGGCTAAGGCAGATGCTTGACCTTCTGTGGTCTGGTGTTTCCACTCGGTACCAGGGAGCACTGCTCTCCCCCGCCACGCAGAGGAGGTCTGTGACCACCACTGTTCCTCCATGTCAATGTGATGGATGGGAACCTCAGCCATTTGAGACCAAACTGGCAAGCAAGCTCCTATCCTTGCACAAACCCGCTCCCACATCTCTCGGCATCTGCCAGGGAACATGCTGGTTCCTAGCTGTGCGTATAAATCAGCTCCTGCAGATGTAGGTTCCCAAAAGCATTAAACACCAGTGGCTACAAATATCACAAGTAGCAGAGGCCAAACGCACTTCTGCATATTTTTTGTACCCCTATAGCACTCCTGCCTCTATCCTCAACTAGAAAAAGCAAAAGTGTGTAACTGAAAACCATCTGACTGCAGAAAAAACCTAATCTAAAACCTTCTGAAGTGAAAGAGAACCTTTCTTCCGATTTGATTGTGCCTTGAATTGGGGCAGAAAACCCTTAAGCATGACCAGTGAAGACAATGGGACTTAACTCAGGTTTGAGTGTCTGTTTAAGTACTTTCCTGAATGGGTGTCCCTGCTTCAGCCTAGTTCAGAAATCAACTGAAAACAACTCTTAGCACAGAAATAATGTCACATCCAAGACATGATGCTGCTGCACGTTTTACTAATGTGGTAACATACCTTTTGTGCTCTTCCTGCAAGACTGGCTCAGAAAGGGAGTCAGCTCACCCTCTGAGTAGTTCTTTTAAGGGATTGTTAGATTATAGTAGATACCTTCCATCAATAAAGCTGTGTTCAGAACTGTACTTAGTAGTTACACATGTACTCAGTTTTTCCTATTCTTCTTCCTCATATGTAACAGTTTAGAAAACCTATCCCAGCTTTCCATATTCCTGACGTTTTATTTGCAAACAGAAATGGAATAGGTGCTTCCCAGCTACTGAGCTTATAGCAATAACAGTTGTTCTTTAAAGTTAAAATTCAGACAACATTTGAAAACTTTCTGCAAAGGACAGGCCAAATAGGGGCACTGAGTAAAACTTCCAGGAAGTGAAGTCTGGTCAAACCCTGCGACACATTTGGACTTTCCAGGTAGGTTGATCTGAATCCAGAGCTCAAAGCAAACTCAAGTCAGCCAAAGCCCTTATGGCCCTAACTGGCCCGAAGGGTCTGGCCTGCTCACAAGAGAGTGGAATTGGTGGAGCATCCCATTCTGCCTCACCATTTGGTCTCACCCTAAAATTCAGCTAACTGTGTGCCTCTCCTTTCCACAGATGCTCAGCTCTGGAGCTCATAACATGTAGTAGACACCCATCTGCTACAACACTACCTGGCAGGTAAAAAGTGGTTTTCATACTGGACACTCAAAGCAGGGCTGCAACGTCCCTTTTATCTGTGCAGGTAACGCGCCTCATGCAGAAGCTCCCGTCCACCCTGGGAACTGCCACCACTTCCAGCTCTCTGAATCAGATCCTGGGACTGCACAACCTGTACCACAACGGGAGCATCCACATGCCACCCCAATGCCAAGGAAGCAGGTAGGCAGGTACCTGCCAGCCTAAGCGGCACAAGGCTGGAGGGTGAAACGATCTGCTCAGGCAGCAAAGGGAAGGGATGGCAGAGCAGAAGCTTGCCTGGGCTCCCTGCTCTCCACTTGGGTTCAGTCTCTAAATTAAACTCTCAGCCTTCCATAAAATGTAACTTCTCATGGTCTGTTGCAGCTACTGACACGGGCAGACTGCAGATAGAGATCCTGGGTGTCAGGCGAAGGCATGGCTCATAATGAGACTTAGCACAGCTAAACTTCAAAGTGTAAGAACACTGCGCCAGAGTTATAAGTAGGGGGGAGGGAAAACCTCATACCGAAGGAGTAGCTCAGATCCACGTAGAGGCAGAAACATCTATCTGCCGAGATGGATAATTAAACACCCATATTTAGACAAATGAATAGGTGAGAATGAAATTAAATTCTAATTATCTTTTTTGGGGGGGAGGGAAGGGGGAATAGGGAGCAGAACCAAGCACTCATTCCACATCCCTATGCCGTTATCACCAATTAGATTTCTGAGGCTAATGCACGTCTTGCTTTAACGGGTTATTCATCCAATTGAAATCAAATTACTAATAATTTGCAAACTAACAGCTACACAAGCGCATCCTTGGGTTGTATAAAGAGTTGTGAGCAGGAGCTGTTCCCTTACAAATTAATAACAGAAAAAGAGGGGGAAAAAATAAAATAGCCAGACAAGTGAAGGTGCTACAGCTACCACTGTCTCTCCCACCTCCTCACCCACCCAAGGTCTCAGACACAGTGTTATCAGTTCGAAAGTGTTCAAGAAAAATGACCAGATGGGCCCCACAGCGACAAAAAAGCGCCAGGCTCCCTGCACAGCTCCGTGAGCAAGGAGGGCACGCAGGCTGGGGGAATTCAACTGCTGCATCAGGCACTTCAGCAAGGAGGGACTAGAATGGCAGGGTCTGCTTTGTGCAAAGAATTAAATTGCTTATATATGTATGTGAACCCAAAAAAAGAAAAAAAAAAAAAATTAACAGGAAGGACTGACTCTATTCAAGGCATCTCTGGAGCCTGTACTGGAATGAGAATCCAGCCCAGAAAAGAAAGTGACAGAGCTGGCAAAATAATAGAGAGCAGCTGGGATAGTTTTTAATTTTTAAGTTGTTTCTTTTCTTCCCTGTCATTTCTTTTTTACCCTAGCAGTCCCTACAAGCTTTCAACACCAGAGTGGCAACCATGGAAGAGGCCAACAGAGTGAGTCAGGCATCTCCCTAACGTCTTGTCACTCCCGGGGCACCAACAACCTCGTTCCACAGCTGAGCTCCTGCGCCGTGGCCAGCTTGCTTTCTGCTGCTCCCTTGGCTCACTCCACTGCCCCAGGTGCACACTGCAGTAACCAGTACACATGCCACAGAAATAGGGAGAATACTGGGCAGCATCCAGCTACGGGAACAGGTCAGTACTGCCAGAAAGAGAACCCAGCACAGCCCCATCTCTTACTCACAACTGTCCCTTTCTGTCTCCCGTTTAATTATAAGACCAACACTTCCTTTGGATGGAGGTTGTCTGTACCTTTCCATCTTCTAGCACAGGGCAGGGCCACAGAGAAGAGAAAAATATTGACAAGGTTTCCCCACATCCTCTGGTTTAGAAGAATGGCACTGAAGGGACAGTGTTGGCAAAAGCATGAATTAAGGACTTTTGTTCAACCAGCACAGCTCCATACCGCCATGGTCACTGGGAACTCAACGTGCCCATGGTCAGGCCCCAGGTACCCCCACCTCGCACGGACAGAGCACTTAGGCACCTCATGGGGCCTATGCAATGCAAACCACAGTGCTGCAGCTAAGCAGCTGGGGAAGAGATATTTGCAGATGCCATCACGCAGGCTGCGTGGTTGGAAGGTCAGAGCTAACTCCTCTCTCCTCCCCTCTCTTCACATATATCACTGTCTCAGCTTCCAGAGTCTCCCTATATCCATGCCCTGCTATTTTCAGGCAGCCAACATTAAGGAGCTTGTGCAGGCAATGAACAGGCTCCTCCAGGAAACCTCATACGTGGTGGCTGGAAGAGTGGCCTTAAGATTGCAGCAAGACTGAGACTTGGACTTGGGGTGTCTGGGTCACTCTTCACCATGGAATTGATGTTGGAAAGGTCAGATACAAGGAGATGCAGAGAACAGCCAAGAGCACTTGTGAATCAAGATTTCATTTGCTTTCATTCTCACACTTCACCTTTCTTTTTGGTCTCAAATCTCTTTCCTGGGCAAGAAGGGATTTCTTGCTGTTATATTTTATCCTGCAGCATCCCTGAGAAGTAAGTAGCCATTTTCTCTCTCTCTCCCTCCTCAAATATATGTCCTCATTAGGTCAATGACATGCTTCCTGGCACTCTAGACCAAGTGCAGCCTTTGCTTCCCAGAGGGATCTTTAATATATTTATTGAATACAGTGACTGTTATTAAGTTGTACATTGTTCAGAGGAAAAGGGGGAAGGAGGGAGGAAAGAGAAAAGAGACGAGAAAATAATGGGTTGCAGAGGAAGGAAGAAGGGACTGACAGAAAATAGCCAGTGGAAGCAGTGAAAGAAAAGTGTCATAAAGCAGCAAAATATGTCTCCAGCCACAAGAGGGGCCCTGCCTCCCTCCTTCTCTCGAGTCCCGGCAATTAGAAGAAGGGCTGTCGAATCTAATGTAAGAGCCTGATTCACGGCTGGAGCCCAGAGCCCTGCTCTGTCATGTCTCTAGTCTCTCTTTAGTTGTAGGCTGCCTGGAAGAGCCTTGTCAGCTTAGCCAAGAGCCCAGACATGCTCTGGCTTTGGCAGCAGGTAAAAAGCAGTGTTGTGTGGCATAGCCTGCCATGAAACTGAGCCCCACCAGGAGCAGGGACGTCCCACAGCTCTCATCCCAGGGCAGCACCAGGGTGGACCGTTCGGGAGCATCGCATGAAGAGGCCAAGCAAGAGGAGGAAGGTAAAGGCACTGTTGTGTACATTGCACATCAGCTGAGAAGGCATTGGGATCTCACGGCTCTGAATTACAAGCAGGTACATGTGACAAATATAATGGGTGGGTGCTTGGGTTTGATCTTCAATCAATTAGGGAGTCAAAGAGCAGCAGCCTTATGGGATATAAGAAATAGCTTTCCACTTAGAAAGGCAGGCAGTGGAAAGGCTGACAGCCACTAGCCATTAAGGCTTAGTGGAGGTCAGTAATTTCGCTATTAGAAAATGGACGCTGAGTGAGGAGAATGCTGTAAAGCTGGTCTGTGAGGCGAGGGATGCGGGGGGCAGGGGAGAGCAACTCGCCCCTGCCTGGATTCTATCCATGTTCCCGTGTGAATAGGGACGAGGAGATAGTCCTCCACCATTGCTTGAGTAAGCACCTTCATTTCAAATGCTCTCCTCTGCCCATGCCAGGTGCTGGACACCACGGTCATACTGCTGACACAGCCAGAGAAGGTTTGGGGGATGTGGAGGACAGTGACATAAAAAAAGGAGGAAGGACTTAAGGGCAGTATGAGGTTCTCCAGAAATCTGCTTCTCATTGCACAGACACCCTGTTACAGGACAACTTTTGTTATTTCTCCTAAAAATGGCTTTTATTTCAGAGCAATATTTGGCAAGGAATCCAGCCCGCTGTGTGCTCTCATTGTACAATCTGCTCCTACCTTTGCTCCCAATCCTCTTTTTTTAATAGAAGAATTTCAAAGGCATTTTCACCACGTGTGTCCATTTGCACCTATCCTGCCCATTACTCAGTCCAGTGTACATGTTTTCTGATAGCCTGTAAGGGTTCCTTTGGAGACAGGTCAGGTCAAAAACTTTCAACGTTTTAAACAGGTGCTTAAGTATTACTACCTCTTATTACTAGCCATGTCATCATATTTTGCTGGGGACTTAGACAAAGCTGTGCGTGAGCAGTTCCTAACCTACCCTGCTGAATCTCAGGTGCTATCACTGCATTTCTCCCTTTCTCTTTCCCTCCCACACTAATGGAAAAGGCCAGTCTTTAAAATAGAAAAATTCGTGCACTCACAAGACAATGCTGGGCTTAAATCCAACAGCGTGTGAAGATCTCACTCTGAAAGCTCAACCTTACTCTGGCTACACTGGCTTTCCTCTGTTTGGGGATTCTTGGGATAACATAACAGAGGTCCTTAAAGGCAGTTTGAACCTCAGTGTGGAAAAGCTCACAGGCTGTTCCTGAGGTAATGCATTTGTCAATGTCACTTGGCACCTCCCAATGAGTGTAAGGAAGTTAATGCTTCTCAAACTATGGCAGAGCCAAGGAATTTGTAGTCTCAAACTAGAGAGCGGTAACAAAAAAGCAGACTGGCATAACATTTATTTTAGCTTGCTGGGGGAGAGGCAGCTTAGCTAATAGTCTGCAAGAAAGGAAAAAGGCTTTACAAAGCCAAAGTTTCTAACTGCAGTTCACCTTACGTAGTTCTTGTACCAGTTCAGCTATGCCAGTATTATTATGACTAAAATAACCATACAGGTGACATAGGTGTATCAGTATAGAAATGCCCTATACTGATACTCTTTTTCCCAAATAGGAAAAACTATTTTCATAGCCAGGCAAGCATTCTCACCAGGAGTCAGTTCAACTTAACCAAACCACAATAATTAAGACAATGCAACTGTTGCATGTAGGCAATGTTGTAAAAGAGCAAGATTTTCAGGAACCTGAAATCTGATCAAAAGAAAAAGGATTTTCCTCTGCAACACCATCCCAATAATCTTCAGAGCTGAGTGCTTACAGTCTGGGTATCAAGCTACGGTACCAAGCTCAGCAGATGCCTCTGGTTATGTGAGAGAAGATTTTAAGCCCTCTGTCTTCCAGACAAGAGGCATAACACAAAGGCTACTTAGCACACCCTGCAAAGACGGCTAAAGAGGACTCAAAGGGTCCCACTACAAGATGAAAACATTCACCTTTAAGCTTGGGTCACCTGGGTTTCAAAGCAGATGAGCCAAGCTCACTTCAGTGTGAGGCTCCATTTCCTTAACGTAATTACGTATGTGCAAGGCAGGGAAGCAATGCAGTTTTGCAGGGACTTGGTTGCAAAATAAGTTGGCATGCAGGGAAATGCAATAATTTCAGTAGTAGCTACAGGTCTCTGCTCCTTTCTATGACTGCAAGAACATCATGAAGCAGGTTTTCTCTGCCTCAGACCTCCTCTAAAGGCCATCACGATGGGCAATTGCCTAAGATCACAGAGGAAACCACTGGCAAAGGCTCGGGTGAAGGACTAGCCAAGAAACTAAGCTTCTGACTCCTATTCTAATCTCTAGAGTCTTCTCTTCACTGATGCTCAGACCTCAAAGTAGCAGAAAGCATTCCCTTGTGCCAACAATGGGAGGAAACAGACAATATAAAGAAAATTGGGCATAGGAGAAGAAAGAAAAGGCAACAATGTTCAAAGCAATAATGCAAGTGTTTATAATAGTAAGTGCATGAAGGTGTGCACGAGGGCCATCCAGGGGTACAAGAGGAAAACACAGGTTTGCTCAGGCCCTGACCTTGTTTTCCTACTATCACAGTTTAACCTATTTCTTCCTCTCAGTGGGAGACAATAAAACCTCAGCCCAATCCATCACCAATCGGGGAGGATACAACAGGTGAATTAAAACCAGAAAGCAGATGGGGCCCTGTCTCTGCCAGGCCCCAGCTGTCGTGTCTGCGAGCTGTCTAGCCTTTCTGATGCTGCTGCTGTCTCTGGAGCCAGCCCCATCACACCTTCCACCCCAGTCCCCGGGCTCCTAATGACACTGGGAACAGAGCCCAAGCCTGCTCCCCCCCAGCAGCACTGGGCAAGAGTTGGGCCAGGCTGCTTTCCATTCCCTGCTCTCCAGCAGGTGGAAATGGCCAGTCCTCCCGCTCTTTAGGACAGGAGGGCTGGGGGACCCACTTGCAAGGGACAAAATGCTTGGAAATGTTGAGGGATTTGAGCGGTAGATGTTCCCTGCCTGGGCACCTAGCACTGAATTACATGCTCTTTTTTTCTGTTATTACTGTACTCATCAAGAGTGCTGCCTGGCCCCTGTCTGCCCCAGCTATTCCAGCTTTTTCCCACACACACTGCATCAGAGTTCCTAGGAAAATGAAAAAGAGAACAACGGTACAAAAGGAATGAGAGTCTAACCTACCTGGTAAGAATCATGCACTCCTCTAAGGAATCAAGACAAAGCTTAAACAAGAGACCTTCAAACAAACTGATTGAAAAGTACTGAGGAGCACAGAAATGGTAAGCTGGGAGACCACTGGCTAATAACTATTAAGTGTTTTTTCTTCATCTCCTAATAAACAAGGCAAAGCAATTACAGTAATTAAAGATTTAAGATAAGAGCACTTTATATTTGGGGGGCCCAGCATATCAATTATATAGTTATCATGTTTTTCTCCCTCCTAATGAGACAATCTAGCACTATAATTTTGCAGAATTAAAAGCGTAATTAAAGGGGGCAGGCGAAGAAGGGCAGTTTACCAAAACTGATTAGGAGGGTTGCCTCTCCTCTCTGGCTCCTGTGCACATGCACAGTGCAGATGCATTCCCCAAACACCTTTTCATTTCCAAGCGATAACCCTTGAACACGGCTGTTGGACAGCTGCAATGATAAACCCAGACTTTAATTACAGGCGGGTTTTATGAGAAGAGCTGGTTACTGTTTTGTCTCCATACTTTCAAGCTCACTGTTGCTGAATGTACCAGCATCTGTTGGAAGGCAAGGAGGGAAATAGCTTATCTACTCAGCAGCAAGAAACACATAAAACATAAGAAAAGCAATTACATGCCTTCGGTTTCCACTCCTCTATTTTTATAGGGCTTGTCTTAGAATCTGAGTGATTTTATGCATCAGAGGAAGATGACAATCAAGATGAGTTGCAATGATATGCATGGGAGGCTGAGACACAGTGCCTTTAGGTATTTATTTTCCTGTAGTTACAGGTCTTCTAAACATCGTATTTTTTCAGAGGGATGAGAGAACCCAAAATTTTGCAGCTGAGTATTATGGGCACTGAAACCATACATGAGAGCCCAAGTGACAGTTACCAGAATGTAAATCAAGACAATCCTTTCTTCTCTTCCTTTAACCCTGTGTGATTCCAGGATAATGTATATGGTACTGAGAAAGTCACGATCAAAATATGTAAGTACTGAGGTGAGCCCCAGTATCTGAGTGACTCTCTGACTACTGCAACTCCATTACTTCTACTTCTGGACCACAGAGGCACTCAGGATCAGTGAGACACAGCTACGCTCTTTGACACTTGTGATCAAAACCATGTAACAACAACCACTGCTGCTACCTCCTTCCCAAACTTTGATCCCCAACATTAAGTTATCCACTTTATGTTATATAAGAATTTAGGGACAACTGAAAGCAAAAGGCAGGACTTTGGACCCATAAACCTCTGGGTATTTTCAGACAGCTATGTAAAATGCCCACAGACAACTTCTTGGTCATGCAATTTGTTGGCCTCACCAGGCACAAAGATACAGAATGCTGGACAAAGGTTGAAATACAATTTACAGTCTGCAAATCCAGAGGCCTTTAGTGCAAACACAAGGCCTGTGGTGCAAGGCCTCACAGAGCCCTACTCACTCCAAACAGGAGTGACTAAGTAGAAAAGAGGACCCAGCTACCCTTTCTGAGCTTTAATGTGACATTTGCATTTTAATTTCAGGCCTTGGAGGTGACTCCACAGGGCAGCCCAGACAGTATTGGCCCACAAAGACTGGTCACCTGCTGCCCAGTTTTCTCTGTCTTTGCTCCTGCAGTGCAGCACTCCCTGCCAGGAAAGTACCTTCTTTTCATGATACTGATATGGAGATCCTCCTCCTGCTTTACTTCAGGGTGTTGACCATTGCTCTTATCACTCTCTTCGCTGTCGTCGCTATGCGAGAAAATGGAAGTCAGCTCTTTCTTCGGGATCCTTGTTGGAGGTAAGGGGATTGTCCTCTTCTCTGCCAGGCGACCCCGGTTCTGGCACAGGATGGAAGTAGTTGGACGGGGAAAGAGCAGGAGGAAAAGAGAAGAAAACAAGAATTTGGTTAGACAACCCAGAACCAAGAAGCTCCTCTCAAACAGCTGCCCTGTGAAGGCAATGCTGTTAGTCATGGCAGGTTTCAGACTGGTATGTTGGGTGGGCCAAGGCTATGTTCGATTTGCAAAAGACTTTTCAGCAGAGGCATATCTATATCTAGTTCTTCCAGTTCTAATATTGAAGTCATGCACTTCCAACCTCTTCCTACCTCTTCATTTCTAGCTTGTGTCTCATCCATGCCAATAGGGAGGGAAGATGGTAGCAAATTTAGGCACCAATCTCTCTCTCCAGAGTACTTCCTACCAAATGTTGCACATTAACATAGCAGAATAGGTTAAATTAAACCTTTGCCAGTAGTCCAGGGAAGATGTGATCCAGACAATCCAGAACACTTTTGACTGCAAAGGGAAAACTGCCTGGGCCAGCCCAGCAGTGGGTTTGTCTCTCACACCAGTGAACAGTCCACATTAATTTCAACTTGAATTACTGAGGCTTCTTTTCACTGTTCATTTGCATGTTCAGATGAATCTAGCAGGTCTTGCCTTGTGCAGACTATCCCTAGGTGGTCCTGGCAGTGTACTTCCCTCAACAATTCACTTCTGACAAGACACAAATAAACAGGAGGAAAACTCCCAGGAGGCCAAAGCTGCTTTTTCACTGCATGTGTATTTGTATACAGAACCCAGCACAACATGACCCGGGTCCCAACCTCCTATCTTCCATAAGTAGTGAGAATGTCTTGAGGATTACTCTGTCCCTGCACGCTTTGTGCCTGATCCACAAGAAGATACACACCCAGTGCAGCCTACACTAGAGTGTGTTGGGTTTTTAGCTTTCACTGTGATAAAACATGTTTCTAGCACTTGTAGTGTTTAGCTTGATCTGTGATTGACCAAGAAGGAGAGCCATAATATGAGCACTTATGGTAAATGTACACTGGAAACCCAGGGAGTAATGTCATTGCCCCACAGAATTTAAAATTTTAGCAAACAAAATAATGAAATTGGGAAGAGAACCACAGAGAAGTGGAAGTGAAGCACAGTTTCAGGCACATTCTTTGTACAGGTATGTAGGCATACTTCCTTCAGTAGGACAAGTCATAGAAAAGAAAAATATTTTTAGCAAGGACTGGAACAAAAGGAAGAAAGGTGTGTGAAACAGGTTGAGTAAGTGCAGAGTAACATTTAACTAATAACAGTTTCTCTGAAACATTGACTCCAACTTTCTAAATAAACCTGGCAAAATGAAAATGTCCTGGGAAAGCCAGTCATGCTCTCTGCAGGGGAGAATGGAAGAATACTAAGTGATAGAAGAGCCCATGTTTTTTTAATTAAACAAATTAAGAACTTTCCACAAATGCAAAACAAAAACTTCTTGTTTACCTCTGTCAATAAATTCCAGTTGTGGTCATTAAGGGGAGCCCTAATCGTTGTGATAATTAGCTAAATCCATCTGGAAAGCATCACCCCAAGGAGGCACATTAGCTTTCCCATTCTGATGCGCTTGAAAGCCAAGAACACAGCTGTCTGTGAACAGCAGACACCCATGGGAGAGAACAGCAGTGGGGCAAACTGGCTTCAAAATGGGAAACCACGTGCATACAAGGAAAAAGACACGCACTTGCTTCTTGTGAGAGATGTGAAGAAGAAAAACACCCCTGTGGACAGCAGCAAGGTGAATGCTCCTACATCTCTGAGTATTGCAAGTGGAAAACTTGGATCAAGCTGCAGCAGGCTTTGTAGTGAGTCCAAATGCCCAGACTCAGACACAGGAGAAACCCCTACGTGTGAGTATAGCTGGGGAGTCTCAGAGACACACTTGCACAACGTGAACTGTTATGGTGTGAGGAGCCAACTGCATTTATGCATCAAACAGCAAATGCTTTCCCTCAGCCCTGTGGGCTCCCCTACACAGTAGTAAAGATCCACTCACACGGCCCTTTGCAAAGAGGTTTCTCACTATCTGTTCCCTGGAGGAACATGCGATATAAACTGTGCATCTCTTAAATACTTTTCGCATAGAGGTGCATTTCCACCCCTGCCCCCTTTCCTGCTCCAGTGCATACAGAGAACGCGCAGAGCTTACCCTCTGCTTAAAGCCATCTTAGTAACTCTAGCTAGCATAGTGTCAAAAGGACAGTAGGGAGAAGGGGAGAGAAAGGGGAAAAGTGAGGGGAAGGAAAGGAAAAGCAAGGAGGGCAGTATTCGCCCTAGATTTCTGTCATGTTCAAAAGCTAGGACTTGATATCAGCATGAGCTTTAACATGCCAAAGCTCTAGATATTTTTCTGAAGTTGCAATTTATCATAACAATTAAAGGGGGAGGGGAGGGAGGGTGTGCAAATTTCCGCTTCAAAATAATTGCAATTCACTCTCTGCTGTGACTTCACAGGCTAAAGAGAATGGCACTGATCAGATACTAAAAATCATTTTATAGCCATTATGGTACCTTCGAGCAGTTACCGGATCTCAGTGACTGCCCAGGGACTCATCAGCCCTAACAAGAGTGAGAGTGCAGCAAACAGGGAGGCACTAAACCTAGAGAAACAGCCCACCAGACCAGGAGCACAGGTTCCCCCTTTCCCCGGCTCCTCAGAATGCTTATTCTTTGCCTTTCTGGAAATTGTATCCTTACACCTAAAGCTGCTGCATATATATACACCTACATATACATACACATAAATATATGCCTATACAAATATGTACATACATAACTATACAGATATCACCGAACACACAGCTTCTTCCCTTAAAAGACAAACGAATGAACATGAATGGAGAAGCGAATCTTCACCTGCGGCGATCTCTGCTCACACGTGTACTGCCTCTGTTCTGGCCAGGGGCCGGACGTGGACAACATCGGAACCAGGGCCGCAGCGGTTCCAGTGCCCTTGCAAACATCTACATTTCAGCACCAGCAGTGGGGTTTTTTTAAAGTTGTGTTTACTTTGTATTTCTGCCGTTAGTTTTGGGGCAATTTATTTATTTATTTATTACGTTTCTCCATTCCCAGAAAATTAAAACAGACTGAGCCAATCAATTTTGCCTTTTATGTTCATCTATAGCCAGTTTTGAATCAATTGCACTTTCTTAATCTGTTTAGAGGCATTCACCAGTAGATATACATTACTTTTAAATTAAGCACAAAGGTAGCCAGAAGCCTGGTCCAGAACCTGCTACAATCAATTGTCTTTCCACTGACTTGGAAGGGCACTAGTCCAAGCTGCAAATAAAAACCACTCATTTGTGAGAAGCACTCCATCCAAGGAATCATTCCTACAACTCGGGCTTTTGCTAAACTCCTTTGCCAGTTGTACAGACACCTTACAGGACAGGAACGTACCTACAGAGATGAGCAGTATATTGAGATACCTGCAGTTACTCAGATTCAGGGTTATCAGCTACCACTTGGCACACAGTGGCAGGTAGTAAAGTATGCACTTAGAGCGGTGTTATGTGCAAGGATACACCCAGAGACTGCAGTGGCATCACTATATATAGGGAGGTACATTAGGATTTATAGATATTTGATGTAAGCCTCATAATCTCACCTTAAAAAAGCTTGTATTTGTGTGGCTGTCATTACAGAGTGACCTCAGGCATTAAAGGGATGCTGACGTTGAACCATGAACCCCAGGAGAAGATCTGAATATTTTAAAAAGAAAACTGCCTCCCAATTTGTTGATATTCACTGGGATGCCTGATGCTTGGGAAAACAGCACAATCAACGGTCACCCACTGCCAGAGCGGCAGGTATCTTGGGACTCTAGCTCCCCCCTTGTTAAATAACTCCATTTTTACACACATGAAGAAAAGGGGGAAGGTGTGCTTTGCCAGCTGGCCTCTTTGAGCTAGTAGGACTCTTTTGGCCAACGGGTCAGAAGGAGCATTTTCTGTAGCTGCAGAGCCAACAACAGCTGTTAGTACAGGTGCAGTATCCCCAGCAAAAAGATGAAGCATACGTAGCGGTATGTCTCATAGCTCAGCCCAGCAAAGCCAGGTTGCCTGCCTGCCAGCTCCCCGGCCCAGGGAGTACAGACAGAAGGTGGTGGAAGGAAGAGATGATAGCCCTGAGAGCAGGGGGAACACAGGATCCCCACTGAGGACCTGTTCTCAACACCTACATCTGTGGGGGAAATACAGCCAGCCAGCCAAAACGCTGCTGCAGAGATACTGCGTGGGTGCTCTCCCCCAACCTGCAGCAAACCCTCCAACAAGTTTGCTTTCAGGACAAACATTGACTCAGCTCAAAGGAAAGGTCTTCAGAGTTTGCACCTTCCTTTTGTAACACAAGGATTTCTCCCCACCCCTTGGATAGAGGGTGGAGAGGTGGAGAACAGAATATCACTTACCCTCTCTTTAATTAGTGTAACTGGAAAGTAAAATGTTCCTGCAATTCTCTGAAGCTTTTGCAAGGGTGAGTGTTGAGAGCACTGCCTAACTGGCTCATGTATTAGGACTCCCTTCCTTTTATACATTGTTAAAGATTAATTTTGTGGGTTATGATTCCAGCTAATGAAACACAGCTGGAGTTTGAGTCAATAACCCTCTATTCCCCAGACATGTTCAGCTACCCACCCAGCCGTTCCTGCGTCAGTCCAGCCCTCAGTCACTCACCACTTCACCCTCCTAGGGTCTTTTGACACCATTAATTGCTTGTATTGCCTCTCAAAGTATTGTCTGGGTGGGGGGTTGCTTTGTTTTTGAAAATCACAGGCACATTTCCTTTCCCCAGGAAAAATCAGATGGGTACCACCATACTATTTAAAGTTACTGATTACCCAAGTCTAGAGATGCAACCACAAGTAACAAAACCCACCAACTTGGGAACAGTGGTAGGTTACCTGAGTGGAGAAGCCTGGAAGCCCAATTATTCTGTCATGAAAGCAAAGGACCATCAGAAAGATGGAAAAGAAAACAGGGGTGATGTTTCTTTCCTTC